GTCCCCCCCCGGCCCGGCCCGGTGGGGAGCCACAGCAGCTCACCACTGTCGTTACCCTGGGTAAATCACAGCCACCCACTATGGGATGAAGGGAGAAATCCCACGCTCCTGACGCGGCCATAGCCACGCTGATCCCGGCACAAAACCCAAGTGGGGTGTGGGATTCCTCCCTTCCCTCCCGCGTCTTTGCTTCCCATTTACTCGTGCTGAGAAAGGATGGTCAGGACTCGGCGATGCCAGGTCAGAACATCATCATGAACCCTGCAGGACCAGGCTCCGAGGCTGCACAGTGCCAGGCTTACAGTTGCCCTCGCTTCATGCCCAGCCTGACCACCCAAGCGGCTTCCCCGAGCTTTTTTTAAAAAAAAAACCCTTTTCTAATTCATCAGGAAAAGCGCAACGCCGTTCAGAAGTCACACAGCGCTGAGTTTCCGAGAGCTGAGGTCTCCTGGTAATAAGCAGAGGCCGGGCAACAGCCGGTTCCTCCGCGGCACTGCGCGGCCAGGGCTTTATGGAAATGGCACCTGGGAGCTCCCGCTCTCCCTCCGCTCCGCCACCCCGCCGATTACACACGCAGACAAAACACGACGTCTGGTAACCTTTCATTACGGCTTCATTAAAAATAGCGCTTGGTATTATTCTGGAAAATCTGCATGTGTCTACACTATAATTTGGTAGGATAAACTGACATCCATTTACTTCTTAAAACCCGTCAGCTGATGCTTGCTCAGAACTAACGAGCAGCCATAAAATCCCGACTTGTTGGCTTCTGCCTGACGCGCCGCGTAGGGATGGATGTCTTAGAACCAACACCAGGACCGCACCAGGAAAGAGCTGCTGGGAGATCGGAGGAGAGGAAACACGTACCCAGTGGCTTTTGCTCATCATGAGGAGACAGCCGAGAGTAGGGAGGCGGTGGAGACTCTGGAAAAAACAAAACTCCATGTTAGTGCCGTGTTCGGTTTATCAACAAAACCCTCTTCCTGCCCTGGAAGAGAGAGCACCTCTCCCAAGGTTGTAAACACCCACTTGGAAGCACCCCAAGATGCTTTTCCAGCTTCTGAAGAACAGGGGTTCCACCTCGACATTTCCAAGTGAGCTTTACTACTGAGAACGCTGCAGTTCTGCCCTACGCCACCCGCCCCGTGCCCCTGCCTGGCCACCCACACCCTGAAGCCCACCAAAGGGCACGCCGCTCCCGGAGAACGCCGCTTTCATCACCTGCGTCGGGAGACAACCCTCCAACCATGGCTCAGGCACACACGCGCTCAACAAGAGCTCCCCGCACGCATCACAAGGA